GGCAGTCAAAAAAATTTCGTAAAATCGCCGAACGACCGACGCGTGCGGCGGAAAGCCATATTTAATCAATTCAATTATGGTTTTTTGCATCTAATAGCCAAGATTTTCTACTGCAATACAAAACTTACTAAATTACTTTTAAAAGAACTCAATTTTCCTCTATTATAGCATGGTGGCCCACTGTGACAGGGACAATAAAGTAAAATAAAAATAGGGGAGAACTAGTACACATCATTCTTATTAAAACTTATAATGAAATATCTTATTTTACAATCAGTCATTTTCTCTTTCAAGGTAGGTTGGTCTAAATTTTCTAAAAATACTGCACGTAATTCCAAGCCATAGTACATCTCTATTCTCTACACAAGAAATAACCAACACATTTTCTGTTCCTGTCAGTGTACACATATTGTTAGTAAGGTGTTCAAAGTAATAGCAATACCAGGACCAGTTTAATGGTTACTACGTCATATTACAAGAGCAATAGTTTAATAGTTGTTAGCTTAGTGTCTTCACACTGTGAAATGTAATCCCAAAGCTGTAAGACCATATTTGACGTGATTACTGTTGATGAGGGTGGAGTTACCTGTCACGTGTTTGTATATTGGAGGGAAGCCCTGTTATTAAATACGAGTTTTTAATGTGAGCTCCTCATACGACTATATATACCGCGGGGTATTTACCTCTAGTTACCACTAGTTACCACTAGTTACCACTAGTTACCTCTAGTTACCACTAGTTACCACTAGTTACCACTAGTTACCACTAGTTACCTCTAGTTACCACTAGTTACCACTAGCTACCTCTAGTTACCACTAGTTACCACTTGTTAGTTACCAATTGTTACCATTAGTTACTATCCACTAGTTACTATTAGTTACCACTAGTTACCATTAGTTACCACTAGTTACCACTTGTTATATCTTCTCTTCTATGTCTCTACCAGCAATTTATTCGTTTATTTGGGATTATCATTATACGTTATCAAGACCAGCCATAAGTTTGTGTCTGTCATTATAATTTGTTTTCTAAAGAGATGTGTTTTCTAAAGAAAAAAAACCCTAGTGTGTTTAAGATAATGTTAACTTAAGATAAGTTATAACAGTGACATTATAATCAATAATCAGTGATACACACAAAGACACAGCACCTCTATTATATTCTATAATAACGACCACCACAGTAACTTATACAGTTTGACTTATATATATATTTACCATAGTAACTGTGAGAGGTAACAGTGTACCAGCTCCCCACCACAGTTAGCCACCGCACAGGTAGCACCTGTGCCACATAGCAACTCCCTCCCTCCCTCCCTCTCTCCCTATCTCAGTAGTGTTGTGGACACTGGTGTGGTAACCTGACCCACCTTTTACACTCCCCCTTACCTTGCTGCTGCTGCTGCTGCTGCCCCTTATTCCACGTACAGTATATACAATGTTACTACCTGTACATAGTGATATGTACTTGCTCATAGTGGTATGTACTTGCTCATAGTGGTATGTACTTGCTCATAGTGGTATGTACTTGCTCATAGTGGTATGTACTTGCTCATAGTGGTATGTACTTGCTCATAGTGATATGTACTTGCTCATAGTGGTATGTACCTGCTCATAGTGGTATGTACTTGCTCATAGTGGTATGTTATTCAACATTCCATCAGCTTTCCCCTCCTCATCCTCCCTCACCCCATGTTATAATAGTTGTACACGTTTTATATACTTATTGGCTAAATTGGAACATTGTCAAAAAATGTTCTTACAATGATTTAAGTCAGATCACATAGAGGACGGAAGTGGTAATCTTTCTTCGCTCTTATGAGTGGGTTGATCATACAGATTGATGGTTGGTGATGAAGTGAGAGTCTCCACTCAGTTTTTCAAAACAATTAGTTGTTGACGTTTCAGCAACACGCCTTTGTCAAGACGGAAGTGTTGGTATCATGCTGCTGCCGCTGCCCCAAAAAATATTTACTTTAATTTCCAACTATGTAATGTCCCCTTATAGCAACCTGTAAAAGCCTCTGCTCCACTCCGCGCTGTAATTTATTTCCATTTATAAAGTGGCTCTGCTATTTATAGTAACCTGTTCTAACTCACTCACACATACCAATCTTGCACTCTGAAAGTGCAGCTTGCGGCACAGTTCATATTTACCAGACAAATCTTCTAAGTAAGTAGAAATCCTGAGCTCAGTTTCAGATCACCTGACCCTGTGTTAGTGTGTAATATTTTCACCGTATTAATTATCGCTGTTTCGCGGTTCGACTAATGCCCTTTAATAATCGTCATAATATGTTCCCGTGGAAACGTAATCTCTTTAAGGGGTGGATTTTATTCATATCGGATGATATTAGTTCCGTAGAAATTGAATTAAATACCAACGCTACGAACTTAAAATGTGTCCAAGTTTTTATATATTAGTATCACATTTCACTCGGTTCTAATTACTAAATGGAATATATATAATGCTCCTTCATAAAATATATCCTCTCTTTTTCTGTGGGATATTTCTCCGCATACCTCTCCGTGATAGTCATGATAAAAGAATGTACACATAGCAGTCATTTCGCATAGCTTGCTTTACGCACGACAGAGAGAGAGAGAAAGAGAGATAATATAACAACAGTCACACAAACATCCCAACGCTTGTCTATCGCTCGAGACGTATTACCAAGTACGAGGCCTTGTCAAGTTACACAGCTAGCTCGGGTAGAAGAATGTGTAAACGAGATTACGGAATTTTCCAGAGCGTTATGATAATTATACTTGTTAGAATGTTGCACAGCGTGGATGACACGTTACCATATTACACGCATGTCACAGGGTGAACACACCCACAGAGGGGGATATTACTGCACGGTATTAATAGCAACAATCTCAACAGTTTGTGTTGGGTCACGTCCTGTGTTGGTGAGGCTGCGTGGGGGGAGGCGATGCAGGAATGCTACTGGTGTGTAATCTAATTTAGGGAGGATGAATCTGTTGTGCACGTTACCCACAAATACTACTGTAACAAGGAAATATGCAGAGGTAATGACGGGGGCTTCTGCAGAAGTAGTGCGCTGTATCTGGCAGGCTCGCAAATATGTGAACTAGAGTTGATAAGATTTGTTTGTGATGACCTCACAGACTAGCTGGCCCATCATGCCACATTGCGGCAGAAGTGTAACTTCAGCATAGTGACCGTGTCAGACTCTCTCAATCTTGTAGTAGCAGAGTTTGAGGTGTTGACTAGTTCAGTAGAGTTTCTACAAAATGTGACCAGTGGTCACAGACGGCTGAATTGCTAGACTATGCAGAAATGTTACACTTAAGCAGCTTCCTTCGAAAGCAAAACTCCACATTTCAAGATTTTGTACATCGTGTTTATATGTAATTTTTGGAAACCTCACTCTAAAAATCTAACAGACTTATAGGCAGCCTGTTCAAAATCGTGGTGACTGTCGCCCCAATATACAGTCTACGCTGCAATATACAGTCTACGGTGAGTAACCGACACTTTAAAAAAAGCAACACATGATACACAGCACCGGCTTGAATATATTATGCAACATGATACGACCATGTCTGGACATAATTCCAATATTATATACACATATGCTAAGTACACTGCTAAATTTGAATAATATTTCAAATATGTACGCATTCTCGCGTTTTGGGAGGAGGGATGTGTCACGCTGCTAAGTGGACTTCAAATACCTGTCCGGCGTGGTGCTGGCAGGCCTTTATAGAGAATAGAGGAGATGGAATGTCTTCTGGAGAAAGGGGGAGGAGGAATGTTTTGGAGGCTTTATTTGTGATGGTGTTGAAAGTGTGTGTGGGGTTGTGTGGGGTTGTGTGTTTGGGGTGTGGGGTTGTGTACAGGGCCTGCCAGGGCCTGCCACCTGGTCACACGCTCACACTCACTCACAGTGAGGGGGCTTTATTTTAGAAGTGTAGTATTACACAGGGACGTATATACAGGGTGTTCACGATACATTGAAACGGTTTTAAATGTCTATAATTATAAAGACAAATTTATTAAGGAGTACTCCACTATATTTTCTACTAATTTCCTTTTTCTAATCGATTAAGTTTGTGTTACAACCAGTCCAGATATCAAAAATGTCACACAATTCTCAAAATATTGTGCTGCAACACCCTGGTCCCTGAGTGATAACTTTGAAGAATGTTTCTGCCATAAATGTCTTTATTATAGACATTTAAAACCGTTTCAATGTATCGTGAACACCCTGTATATAATATCTTAATATGTGCGTTTAGCTGTTTTTATTTATAACCCGTTACGTGTGATTATATTCTCATTCTGCTCTCTAACGATGTAGAATTAATTGAGTTGATTATATTCTAAACTCATCATGTTAGGAACCTTAGGATGGGTTAGGAACGTGATAAAATGATAAGCCCCTGTACACCAATTAGGACTGATCGAGGACCCGTTAATCTACCACTTCAGTACAAGCTCCGTAATTAGAATCATCGTTAAGACACGTACAGTGGTACCTGATCCTGATAAGTGTGGGTATTTCCTAATTTGCTCAGATTCTAGTCTCCTCAAGCCTCTGAATCTACAGAAATCAATTTTATTATCCCGAGAATCCTAATAATTTAAGTTTATATGTTTGGTTTAAAAATAACACAAAAATACAATTCCTCACGTTTTTTCCCTCACAATTCCTCTCCTTGTGACCAGAATGTGAAACATTATATTATGCGCAGTATTTATTTTACCCGGGTTTTCGTTAGTGAATTACTAATTCATTTTAAATTGTTCGAAATTCGGGGAAAAGCAATATAATTTATAAACACATAGTCATACATCTGTACAATTATAAGGACTTGTACGTGTCTCCGCGTCTTGTACGTGTCTCCGTGTCTGCGACGAAAATTCCAAAATTCTGATCCGAATATTAGCTTGGTAGAAGAATTTACAATCAGCTGTCAGTTGACAAAAAATGTCAATAGATATAACGATATTAACAAATCTTACTTTTTCAGGGAAAATGTGCTGTTGATGAAGCTCACGAACTTCTTGACACAATCCGGTACGTTACTACATTCCTATCACCATGGAAACCCCTAGCTCGGGTGACCTTTGGAAACATTCCAGAAATATAATCGCGTTTTGTTTGGGAACGGCCCTACTAAAGCATACTCTACGAGTTTTGTGTAATTTATAGAATATATGTGTTCTGTTGCAGCAGTAGTAGTTGAGAGTGCCTGGGTATTTTAAAACTTTAAATACCCGCACCTGTCACGCAGTGAAAACAGTGCAGTCTGTGGGGGAGATTTTAGTCTCGCGGCTATAGTAAGCTACCAATTATTATCTGGCACTTACAGTCTCCACACACACAGCACACAATGGACTTCGTAACATGCCTGATCTAGGAGCTGCGCAGTAAAACTTGCCAAGGCTTCTCAACCCGGTAAAATATTGCCGGGAACTATTTGAAAATATTACATATTCGGATGTCCAACCAGGGCCGGGTCCAGGTAAACTATTTAAAAATTGGATCTCCAGCCAAAGTTTCGAATCTGACGGATACTGCGCAGGATAGTTTTTAGTGCATGTGATAAGGCTATAACCGGACTCACTATGTGACTGCTTATTGTGATAAAAAACCGTGCCAATTTAAATGAGGATCTGTTAATTATTCCTTTTAGGCTTCTCCTGGATAGTATAGACTATCAAAGCACATTTAAAATGGGCTGCTCTCGGAGGACGTGCCGTGTGTCGTATAAACTCATTAAACATATATTATATATGTTACATATATTACATATATTACATAATCTCTACATATTCTGCGTTATGTGTGTGGTGTGTCAGTATCGATAGGTGACTGGTAAATTGTGAAGAGAAGCGGCTACTTACTATATATAACTGAATTATGTGTTCGCAACTATGCTGTCAGCACCAGTATTCTGACTTTTTCATCTTGAAATAAATTCTGGTGAAAAGATATCGGATGAAGTTTGACTGTTAGCCCGGTTAACTAAATGTTGGTTGTCTCATAAGAAACCCCAAAAATTAACTTAATTTCGAATTGTAGCCGGAAATTCCTCTATCTTAACCTTATTTCTTAACATGAAACTTTGTAAAATAGAACCTTTGTGTAAATGGATTCCTTTACAAAAAGGGGAGAGGCTCCCACGAGAATTATAACAAAACACACCGGTACAGTGGTACTAGAGAGAGAGAGACAGCTGATAACACCCACGTACCCTGATAATAAACTTTTAAAACTTCAAATCTCGGGAACTAGAACTTCCTCTGAATCAGGAGTCTACCAACCTGCTGGACAATGTGCAGTTTAAATGTGGGGGTGTGTGTCGTCACTCTCCAGTTCCAGAGCTTTCATTTGCTAATAACTTAACTATTTGACCATCTTAACCCACGCTGGAAGTCAGCGCAATACCAGTTAATGTAGAACTGTGTTCCCATCAAGCTAAACACATCGTTCCAATCCACAACATGGGAGTAATTAGACTTATATAGTCATTACAATAGCCAATATAATATAGACTTATATAGTAAATATCTATAGTCAATTTATACTATATAGTCATTATACACACAGTTATATAGACTTATATATAGTCATTATATAATAGAACTTGAGATGGTCTGATCTATAATCGCTCATTACGAACAACAATATCTTCCATTACACGATCAGCCTGTAGACTTGAAGCCATCAGCATTAGGAGTGACGTCACGATTCCTACACCCTGCTCCGCCTTTGTAACAGTTTATATGTGCGGCTATATAAAGTCTATGTGAGTCTGTATTGTATTCATTATAATCAATACAAAGTCTATTACACACAGATAATGTTTTGTAACAGTTTATGTAAGGTTTTTAGTTTATACAAAGCTAAGGTCTATTTTAAGTCTATAACTTTCTCCAATAATAAGCAGATGTAATTGTTAGACTCTCATACAAACGCTATATATTCGACCTCTCGTAAACATATTATATATCCGGTACACACTAAACTTTTAACGTAAATGTTTGATGGAGAATTATTGTGTTGACGGTAGAAAGGCAGGTTTCATACGTCATGTGTATTTATAATGTGCAGCACCCCGCAACACAGCCAACACAGAATATATAACAGCAGTATTATCTGGCCGTACTTTAAAATATTTGTACTATAGAAATCTACGTGGCACTGATAGGTCTTCTCCCTGGCCTGCATTCCAAGAAAATCGATATATATGTCAGTTTAAAAACAGTGTTGCGGATGCCAAGATATTATATATTTTATTATATATTTTATATCAACACTCGAACTTATCGGAAATTTTGGCTTTGTTAAGAAATGTTAGCACGTAAAGAGAGAGAGAGAGAGAGGTAGGTATAGTAAGGGGTATTTTTACACAAAGGATAGTAATCAAGTTTACGAAGCCCAGGCGGGTGTGGGTGTATGAATCAGCTAAGTTGCTACCCGGTTAGAACAATTAATGAAGTTGTATGACGTCATTGTGTGACGTCATTGCATATTTCCCTGTCATGTGAACATGCTTGCAACTCATCAGTTGGCGACTCAGGGTCCAGCAAAACCCCTTTCACAGGCCCGGCAAACATTTTTGGTACCATAGATATTTTGACCGGGCTGGTCGAATTTGACCAACGCTGGAATTATCGCGTTTTTTGTGAGCGGTTAAATTTAAAGATACGCAGGTTACACTTCCCTGCATAAGTTGAATTTTAAGTACATATTTTGATCCAACATTTTCTCAGAAATTGCTGAAATGTTAACTTAATTAAACTGCCATGTGGTTAAAATAATTTTTTTGCAGACCTGCCAAAAATTTCCAACCTGAAGTAGTTTCAAAATGCTGACGTAAAAAAATGTACTTATAAGCTGACATTACAGATTTCCGCTGCTTAACCAGCAGTTCCAAATATATCACCAAAACGTGACAAGTAACGATTAATATTTCCACCCTTCTAATTTATATACGCAAGAATGCATCGACAAATTCATTTCCGCACGCAGCAGACACGTTTACAAATATGACATTTCATCTCATTCATTACATTTTTTTACATCATTGAGCCGCCACTAATAGCCTTCTCACAGATTAATACCGGTCCGTCCAGCCATTGTACCACATCATCCTCAATAGTCACATACTTTCTTTACAAAATGCCCAGCACCCAATCAGAAGCCTCGACCCGGGCACACTAGCCAATCAGGAGCCTCGACCCGGGCTCACTAGCCAATGAAAATACCTCGTAGCGCCCGGCATTCACTCTAACTCATACTCACTTACATAACGCCATTCTGGTAGATATAATAACATGCGACGGTGTTGCTGAGTGTAAATATTACACTCTCGCAATAAGTCTAAATAATTACAGTTAAGTTAGGCGTGTGTAAGGTGTGTGTGTGTGTGTGTGTGTTTCCTTTGTCACCCTCTCCTATCACAGCACACCGGCCGGAGAACTACCTGGAATGTTGCCAAATACTTTTCCTCCTCTCTCTCTCTCTTTTCCCGACGTGCCAGACTTGTGAAAATTAGATTTACTCTCCCCCAACAGAAAACGTATCTTAAATAACTTTTCCCAGATCTTATTACTCTCACCGCGTGTGTGTGTGTGTGTGTGTGTGCGACTGAAGTGCTGATATATTTATATGTGTGATGATATGCATGTTATATAACATTATATAATATATGGATACATACCATCTTTACATTTAAATATATGTATTTAATATCCCTGCCTCCCTCCCTCTAGCACTATCCTCCCTCCCTCCCTCCCTCGCGACAGTGCTCGGTTAGCAGGTTTCTGTATTTTACAAGTGCCAGGGAAACACAGTGTACACTCCCACAACATATATTTATATAACACTAGGTGCTAAGAAAAATGTACACTCTCAACTTTATAATAAAGTTGCCGCGAACTTGCCGGTAGTACTAGTACAGGATGTGCGTATACATTTTATCTTTCTGTGTCTGAAAGTGGAGTGTTTTATCATATAATGTGTATAATCCCGTGTGTGTAGGTATGTTATAGTGTAGTGGTGTTTCCTAGTGTCCCTGCTACGCTAGCATTCTCTGTCTCATTATTTAATTAATTCTGGCACAGTTCCAATTACCCGCTCTCTCTAGCTCTCTCTCTCGCTCTCTCTCTCTCTCTCTCTCTCTCTCTCTCTCTCTCTCTCTGACGTCACCGATATATCTCCGCTCACTTTCCCTTTATTTTCCCACCCAGTTACCACCTGATACCACTACATGGGAAACGGCGCTGCACCCAGTGTTGATAGAAAGAAACTTCTAGATGTAAACGTGTCAACTATAATATCGCAACTTGCAGGGCACACTCAAAAGTTAATTTCTCTCTCCCTCACGCCATGTCTCTCAGAAATGTTCAATAAATATAAATACATACCGTCACGTGAGAGATTGAGCACGTGACAGATTGAGTTCCTCGCCGTGTGTGTTGAGGAGTGTGTACTGACAAATAACAACTTGTGCTGTGTAGCAGGAAGCGAGGTGGAGTCACGTGGTGTGAGTGTGACGTCACAGTTTTACACACACGGTGTTTAGTGTGTACTAATTCACTTGTTAAGTGTGTGTAGATCTCACTAGAGGATGTGTTTACTCTGTAAATTAAGTAAATTCCTAGAAATGTATCTTGCAGTCTCTCTTATTACTGATGACTGATGACTTATTACTGATGATTGATAAAGTTACGCATTGAACAGTTGAACCCCAATTTGGCACTGACACCCCGCAATTCCCTAGATAGCTCTAGTAATTAGGGGTAATTAACTGATCACCCCCTCTCTCACACTCTAATTACTTAATAACTTACACGCAAAATAACACTTTATTTACCCGCTATATCAAATAACACTCTAAATATATAACGGTCGTCCCTAAATATCAAGTAACCGTACTTCCTTAATCACTCCGCCTGGTGTATTTTATAAAGAGAGCTTTCTTTGTAAATGATACCGTACTTATGGGTTCCCGAGGTGCGTCCGCTGTCAATTTGCCCCTATACACACTTAATTTGAGAATCACACTGCCGCCGTCAATTTTTGATGGGAGCTAATATTGTTTTTCTGCATGTGAGCCGCTTTGTTTGGGTCGGTGTTGTGTTAAATATGTGCATGTGTGTAAAACATGGGGTAACAACACGGATTAGAAATGACGAAGTTATGACAAGCACTGTTACCTTGGGAATCACTGTTAACAATTACAGGGTGATTAATGTTGGAGTCACGTGAACGTACACTGTTGGCACCACGTACACATTTCCCAGAAATGTATGAACGGTGCACGTGTAAACGGGGTAACGTACACTGTGTGACAGTACACAATAGTGATCACCACGTAATGGTAATAACTGTTTACAGTTCAAAGTAGTCCACTGTGGTAAGACTACAGTTAAATTCTTAGGAACGTTATCTCGAATGGCAAACAATTACATTAGAATTTGCTTGTCATGTAGTCCTGTGTGCCCATTTGAAAAGACGCAATCAGCGATATTTTCGAATGTTGACAAATTCCCAAAGACACATTAGGGACTAACTTTATCAGGAAAAAAATTTTAGGGAACTCAGTGATCTGAGAAATTACAATTTGGGGTGTCGTGGGTACTGACTATTTGGCACCCTGTCATACATATTTAGTGACTCCCTTCTAATACCATATTACAAACAGTCAACTACTACTTATCCTTATAATTCCATTGTACGGTTTTTGCGTAGGTGAGTTCATTTTCAACAGAGACTACTACTTTGTATAATACAGATAGTACACAGTTATCAGTATATATAGGAGGTACTACACACAGGTGACGCTACCACCTGCTGTTGCGGAGTGTCCCCTCTGCTACACAGTCTGTAATGTGAGAAGTATCCTGCCGATGCCGCTGCCAGTGGTTGTTTGTGGGGGGGGGGGGGGGGGCTAATGATGTTGTTGTCTGGTCTGTAGTGTGGGGGGGGGGGGGGCCGGGGGGGGGTCTGTGTGCTAGTGGGTCTGTGTGTGTGTGTTGAAAGTTGTGTGACACTGTGTGGTAACACTGTGTGGTAACAGTACACTGTGTGGTAACAGTACAGAAAGGTGAGTGACACTGCACGTGGTAACACTGTGTGGTAACAGTACACTGTGTGGTAACAGTACAGAAAGGTGATTGACACTGTGTGGTAACAGTACACTGTGTGGTAACAGTACACTGTGTGGTAACAGTACACTGTGTGGTAACAGTACAGAAAGGTGAGTGACACTGCACGTGGTAACACTGTGTGGTAACAGTACACTGTGTGGTAACAGTACAGAAAGGTGAGTGACACTGCACGTGGTAACACTGTGTGGTAACAGTACACTGTGTGGTAACAGTACAGAAAGGTGAGTCACACTGTGTGGTAACAGTACTGAGTACAGTTAAAGTTATTAGAGGGAGTGGTTATCTACTGATATCTGGTCAGACTTGGAATTACCACTTCTGGAGGAATGTTTGAGGCGTGTTCTTTTGTTTGTCTGTGGGCCCATATCCTGAAAGACGGCAGATCAGCAGATAATATGCGTGGATATTTTGGATTTTGGAGGAAATTTGGCGCCAAAGACGACATTTTTAGGAGACCTCACCTTTATCATGGCAAAACAAATTTTTAGGGGAAACATTGATCTGTGAGGAAATTTACAATTTTGTGGGTGTGTGCGTGGGTATTATTAGCGTATTATGCCTGCATGAGGCGATCATGTTTATTGTCTATCCCCTGATCTGAACGTAGCCCAATATTGCACGAAAATCAAGTCAAACTAGATATTGTTATTTTCTCTGTTATGAAATGTCCCTACTTGTACGTGTTTTATGACGTAGGTTGAAGATATTTCATGTTTTAATACAAAGGAACTATTAGATCATATTGTTTCCATGGTATCGCAATTATAAGATCTTGTAATCTGATACGTACTCTACAAACGAGTAATAAAATCAAACACAACAATAAATCAATAAGCATCATCTCACTTCTAACAAGTTAAAGAATACCGCACACACACCCACACCCTCACTGACTCATCGTAAATTTAAATGTTACCGCACGTTACAACACATAACGATATATTTTTATACTACACAACACAGAGCGCTCTTACTCACAAATACAACGTATCACGTGACACAAATACACGTCACGTGACACAAATACACATCACGTGACAAAAATACACGCCACGTGACACACCTTACCAGTGATCCATGCTAATGTACATGTTGAGCATGGTCATGTAAAAGCAGCTTTATTACTTAGTAACGCACATTCACATGTAAAGTTATTAATCGTGTTCTGTTAATAATAATAATCAACAGAGTAGAGAGAGAGGCACGCCTGTGTTGTATTGCACTACTGTGTTGTACTGCACTGCGGCTGCTATACACAGATTTCTCATAGAACATAAAACACGTACTCAATATAAATATATATTAATATTTCAACTCTTTCATTTCCATATTTCCATTCCAGTGACGAGTCATTTTACTCTTCCAAATACTGCTTGCAGATTTAAACATAATATGTCATAATATATTTACTCTACGTATATATTATTTACTGTGTTATATAAAACACAAATTTAGTCTCTGACATAACATAATAAAGAACTCCACAAAATTCAGTATATTGCACAATTACGCTATTGTACGTAGTAATTGTACCCTACAAAAGATTCTGTTAAACACATGTAATGTTAAGAGCTCAAGTACAATCTATATTATAAAGGAGTAGTATATAATCCTCTGTGTATACTTACCACTGCTAGACTAATTAGTTGTACATTGTTAAAGAGGCCTGTGATGCTGCACAAAGCTCATTACTAAGGAGTATAATAATACAAGCACCAATAATATAATATAGCGTAACAATACAGAGTAATATATAGAGAGTACTATGTTGAGTTGTAATAGCTATATCAAGTTATATAGTATGTATTTTGACAAGACTTCGATGTGGTATTAACTGCAGTCATTTGGATCATTGTGTATATAATATTATAATGTTTGTGACGTAAAAGAGAGTAATTCTGTTCCATGATGTGCGGCTTGTATATAATTTATCTTACAATGCGTTATAAAAATAGGCTTGGCTTAATAAATTACAGTGGTTGCTGTTTACCACAGTTTATTATGACACCCCAGCCGAATTAAGCTATTATTAATAGAGTTGTTCTGTAGGACTTACAATGGTAGATGGTTATTCAGCTGGTACGGATGTGGAATTTATAATTGATTGTAAATTGTGTAATTAACTCTCAATTATGTAATTAATTAATTTCAGGTGGGTTATAAAGGAGCACCCTGTCCTCCGTGAGGGCCCCATAGAAAACTCGACCAAAAACATCGTCATATCAGAGTGAGTACACTGTTATCATTAATTACCGCAGTTATATAATATATTACTTATATATATATATATAATATATATTATTTGCAGTTAGTTTCCCATCAAACTGGATAATCCTATAATCAGATGGCGACCTGCGACCATTTTGGATCATAGACTTTGTGATGTTGTCTTCATATTTCTCATATTTAGTCCGTCCAGACAGTTGACCATCAATTATCCCTCAGTTACGACTGCATGAAGCAGCTGTGTGACATGTATAATTCAGAAACGAAAAAGATTTCCTGCCAGGTAGTTACCGATAATGATTTGATTCCTGTTGTCAAACTTATAAATGGCTATTATTTCACTGTCAGTTGGATTACTTAACACATAAAGTTGCCAAGTATTCCACTGCTTAAGGAAATAATTTGTTGTTGGTAATATGGCGTGATTAGCTTTGCCGCACACTGTTAGTTTTTATTATCATGTTCGAATTATGCCATAATACCCAGAAAGGGTCTTCCCGCGCGCGCCACATTTTGGAAATGCGGATGATAAAAGCACGATTTTCCAGAACTGTGTGTAATGAAATATGCGAATCGAAGCTTTCGCGCGCACAAGAATATTTAAGGGATTTAATCCACTTCGACCATCCCCATTGCATATATTCAGAAGAATTTAAATGAGTATGTTTCATAATATGACAAACGAACCGATTGTGCAGTAATTTAGGAATTAGATTGGTAAAATTAGGATACTATGTAACCCTTCTTGGTAATCCTGCACACTATTCACTACACGCATACTTTAATATTTTATCTATGTCACCGCAGATATCGGTGAAATTTGTAATTTTGCTGTAATTAATAATTATTTACAGACGAACAGTACGAACAGGGAGCCAGCCTCTAAAGCTCTGCTACGCGTTATATTACACAGGACGTATGCACACGCTGTGTTCGACCCTGAGAAACTAAACTCTTATCAGCCTTTCTCGCCTGAGGTGAGAAATTTGAATATTAATTATTTGTAACCGATGAAGTTATGTGCTTGAGAGAGGTGCTCTTAGGCTTACAAAGAGCAACCGACATTAGTGAAACATAAAATCCTGTTGAGTTCCTAACTAGAATTCAATATTTCCAGGCAATTCACCACTGGTTCACTCTCATTATTATCATTTGTTGTCCCCTTCAATGTGCGGTTGATGTCTTCTGTACCATTTATCCAAAATCGTTCAATAAAGTCATGACGTTGAAATCTAAAAATGAACTCCGCACTATCCTCGGTGCCGCTACAGTGATTGCACTCTTATAAAGGTGTCATGCTGAACAAATAGTGTTACAATTGGTAACGTTAAGTGTCTCTGACAATGCCACAATATATAAATATATATCTCCATGTCACCCTTATACGGGATAAACTCGCTGATCCAGGAGCTGAGAGAACGTTATACCTTCCCAATATATATAATTCTCTAACTGCCTCAATCATCAACTCCTGCACTATATAATGTGTTACTCGAGTGGGAGGGTTGGGGGTACCATATATGGGCATGCTACAAAACTACTCTAAAACAGACTGCTACTTACCGCTGCTACTGTAAACTGTTATATAATGGCTCACACCATTAAATATAACTATTTAAACTTATACCTCTCCCTCTCTCTCTCTCTCTCTCTCTCTCTCTCTCTCTCTCTCTCTCTCTCTCTCTCTCTCTCTCTCTCTCTCTCTCTCTCTCTCTCTCTCTCTCTCTCTCTCTCTCTCTCTCTCTCTCTCTCTCTCTCTCTCTCTCTCTATAATGAATTTAACAACCTACAGGTGTACGGCGAGACCTCGTTTGAGATGATAGATCAGCTGATGGATGACGTGCCCTTCAAGACGGGAGCCACGTTCCTCGACCTGGGCAGTGGGGTTGGTCAGGTGGTGCTGCAGGTGGCTGCTAGTAATATTTGTAGGATATGTTACGGCATTGAGCAGGCCGCTACACCGTGTTATTATGCCAAGGTGGGTCCAGATACTTGACGTCATTAAAGTGAATTTTCTGGGGGTCGCATGATTAGTACTTATTTGGTATAATCTAAATACCTTTCATTGGGTATCATATTATTATATGTTGTCTACAATTTTGAGAAAAGTCATCCAGTCTAGTAACGTATTGTTTAACTTATTGTCTAGAATGAATTGTATTGTGTTGCAGTAAAGTAGTCTATCTTACAAATTCTAACCAGAGGAAACATCACTAAATTATTTTACTAAATTTTATTTTTCAGGCGATGGCGACGCATTTCATCAGATGGATGAATTTCTTCGGAAAGCCATTCAGCGAGTTTAAGATGATGGAGGGAGACTTTCTTGACGACAAGTACCGAGCGATCCTACAGGACTCTAACACGATCTTCGTGAACAACTTCGCTTTTGGGCCGAGCTTGAACCACAAGTTGAAGGAAAGATTTGCTAAATTCGCCGAGGGGGTGAAAATAATCTCCAGTTCGGAGTTCAGACCGATCAACTTTAGGATCACAACGAGGAATATTACTGGTAAGTTTGGTGTTACCTGGCTGTACGTACGTTACCTGGTACTGGCTGTACGTACTTGGTACTGGCTGTACGTACCTGCTACTGGCTGTACGTACCTGGTACTGGCTGTACATACCTGGTACTGGCTGTACGTACCTGGTACTGGCTGTACGTACCTGGTACTGGCTGTACCTGGTACCAGTGTGTATTGTGTTTTGTTAGTTTATAAGTCAAATATAATCGCACTGGGTTGCACACCACACGTGATGTTTACCTTTCTCCTCCGGGACGGTAGTTTGTGTACCATCTCCGCAAGCAATCCAGCATGTCTGTACATCCGTCTTAAAGTGTACACACTAGGCGGCTTATTTATTTTGTGGTCCCATCGTGTGACACGGAATGCTCGACAAATGTGACAGTTTTATAAACATTCTTTTCTGGCCAGAAAAACGACCTTTCTGCTTGCAATTATGCGAATATGAGCTTTTGTTTTTGAATATATAATGACATAATTTTCCCACTCAGACTCCGACCGGAGTTTATTTATAATCATAAATGAAATACACATGTATGTCACACGCAAGCCAAGCATATTACATAACATATATTTTATTGCATAATGCATATATTGTGCATATGTTTTATAAAGGGAATGAAGGAAGTAACACTAGTAACTAAGACAATTCACCAAGCATAACCTTCCACCAATGGCGGTGTTGCAACCAGTCTCCTCGGCGAATCAAATTGGAACAAACCGTCACGTGACTCAAACCGCTACTCATACATTCGCTAGCACGGGACGTCCAAACATTTCGTTTGTTTAAAAGTCGTCTTGTATCGAGCTCTTCAGAGAGGATGAGCGCACACCACTCAGCATGCCGCATGTGTTTCCAATTGCAGTACGTTCAGATCTTTGTTTCTTCATAATTGTACTATGTTCACATGCTGCCGGTACATAAATTGATGACGATTAGGTCGGATCCGGAGCTTGTCACGTGAAAGTCACGCCGCGTGTACTTCGGTTGCATGATTATTGATCGGCGGACAGAGATGTTTTAATGTGTGTTAATGGCTGATCAGAATAAGCATATAACGCATAATAACGCATATAACGCATAATATGTCACCATTTAAATCTAGTAACTCTCGAGTCCATTATCGAGCCACGTCGTGTTGAGTGTTGATTCTGTGACGACTTGACGGTCAGTAATGTTACATGGCATTTAGGTTATCTCCGGCATTTTAGGATCGAAGGAATGCATTCCTTTATATTCATTCCTCAACTGTGTTCCTCTCGTGCTGTTTGTATGTTTGTACCTTGACTTGTCACGAGTTGTTAACAACCCGTACGATGCTGGCCCTAACCCAGACTGGCCCTAACCCAGACTCCGCCCCAGCTCTTAACCCTGCTCGGCGACCTTACTCACCAGATGTGCCTTTTCAGACTACTGATTTGAAATTTATCATTCGAATTATATACTAATCCTCGACAGTTATAATAGGTGACAATAGTATCTTCGTTCCGTGTCGAGGTAATACATGGAACTAGATGCTAACTAAAACTAGATACTAACTGAACTTCGTATCAGATGTCGGTACGATATTGCGGGTACGAGAAGTACACCCAAGAGTTCCCGGATCTGTGAGTTGGACTAACAACGATGTGTGTTACTTTATTCACACTGTAGACAGATCATATCTGGAGGAATACATGCGGCTACAGCGGGCCAAGGTTCGTTTTATGTTCTCGCTGTTAGGATAATACGAGAGAAGTGTTTAATTCGACTTTCGACTTTTGGGTTTTTCCTACATTCCGACTTTGAACAATCATTGAACAGATTAACTCTGTGAAGTTATTTGTCTCGTTTTGTTACATTCTCGATTGTAATCAGCATTTTTCAGTATGTAATTAGTATTGTAATCAGCATTTTTCAGTGTGTAATTAGTATTGTAATCAGCATGTTTCAGTATGGAGACAAGTTAGAAAGTCTCATGATAAACGCTGATCGGAAGATAAAAGAGCGGTGTGAGGACTACAAAGCTCTCCCTGCTTTGTCTTTAGAGAGTGATCATAGAACACATCTGTTGTCAAACCTGACCGAGATTGAGGTTCCTAAAGTCTCCTCAATTGGGGACCTTCATGGTGAGTTGGTGTACATTACACCCGTCTGTCTGTTCATTTAGACAGTGTAAGAAGTATATACCACAGCCGTGAAAAAGCTGGCCACTAAAGTTCGAGTTGTTAGTGTAATTCTGCCGGAATTTTGATCTTTTTGCGGCTGAGGTATAGACTATAGTGGTCCTGAAAATATTTGTATACTTGCCGAGTTATGATACGTTACTGCAGGGTTTTTATGAATTTACCCAAACAAAATGACCTTTTCAGAGCTGCTGAACTCGCATCTGTCCGAGTACATGTCCCAATGTTCCTCCTCGTACGGTGAAGCAGCACTCCAGCTTGAGCTGGAACAGAGTAGGGTGTTGAAGGAGAGACTAGAGGAACAGTTGGACCACCTGGACAGGAATGTTCACACTGAGGAGGAGCAGGTGGTCACCGCGCTGGATAACCGCCTAGCTGAGGTTAGCCAATCATCACTGTTAATGTTGTAGTTGATAGATTGTTCTAATAATAAGTTTATAGTTCAAATACCAGATGTTCCGCCGTGACTTTTATTGTAGCCCTGCTTTTTTGTATTGAAGTACTGTTTGCTAGCTGTTGTTGAAGTATAATTCTGTATCTAGCTGGCCAGCATGTAATAGCTGTGGCCTGTGTGTGTAAGTAAAGGTATGTGGGTGTCAGGAAGGCATGACTGGTGTCTTGGGCCACCCTCTAAGACTTGCCGAGCCCTCCTAATTTTATTGCCAGGGTGTTAACGTCAGCTGGGCACGTGTACAATTCCCACACATTTCAGCCCCGTCCGTATATTACACAATATCTCACATACCCCTCCTTCCCCCGCAGCTGGGCATCAAGTCACGTGACCCACAAGGTATCGGCAAGGAGTTACTCTACCAGGTGACTGGGTTTAAGATACTACACAAGCGCCTCGATCGGCTGTCCTCTGAAGTTACAAACTATCAGACCGCTATCAAATCGTCGCTGGTAAGCCTTGTTTTTTAACTTTTCAGACCGCTTAGCATATGCATTAGATTTTGCTACATTTTTTGTTATTGTTGAAATGCAATGCCAATTTCTTTGTTATTGTCTGGTTGAAACAATCTAAATTGTTGTCTTGCAGTTGCGGGAAGTTTCGACGTGGCGTGATAACCACGAGCGGTACACGGAGTACTCGACTGAGGTTGGAATCAAGCAGAGAGTTTACCAGGACGTGGTATCACAATTACCTGGTTACGATTTCAAGAGTCTGGCGTCCGTCTGCCAAGAGACAGCTAAAGGATACAAGGACAGGACGAAATCTTTGTCCAAAATACTGCTCAGTATTGAGAGTTTAGAGAAAGATAATCTGCAGTTGGAAAAAGAACTTGCAGTCAAAAGAGAAAAGTTGGCGGCTAAAAAGAGAGTAGAGGAAATGGCTTCTGCCGCTGCAGCTGCTGAGGCTGCAAGATTGCTACCAACTCTTCCACCTAAACCAGCAATCAAACCCGAATTGGTTGCCGCCAAAGCCGTAACCATACCTTTACCCATGTCTGTACCTGAACCTGTACCTGTAGCAGCAACAGTCAAACCCAGGGAGCCTAGCCAACCTAAACCTCAACTCATAGGTCCACCCAAACTACCTCTAACTGCGCACCCTACCTCCCACGCTACCTCACACCCTGTTAAAATACCCACAGAGCTGACGAAGCCTCGTCCAAAGCCCTCTGTCGTAATCGAGCAGCCCATCACAGACGTTCTTGTCCGCCCTGATATGAAGGACAGCGCCGGTATGTCCCACCTAGATGCTATCCTAGCTAGGAATGGTCTGGGACACTACATCGGGAACGATTATAACACGAAGAGACCAGAGGAGTACCTGCTAGCTCAGGGACATGAGCAGTACAGGCGGAGGGAGAGGTCCGAGACTAAAAGTGGGGAGAACACACCCAGCAGACCAAGTAGTACTACTAGCAACATTTCTCATCGGAGTATTCTTCAGCAGCAGCACAAACAGATCAACAATATCAACTCGGTATGTGCATGATACAGTATTATAACGACTTTCAATTTGAAATTATGGTTATTTACCTGAATTAATTTACATTTAGATGCAGTGCTCATAGGAAGCTATTTGGTAATTGTCTGTATTAGAAATGTTTCTCATAAGGTCCTTAACATTTTCAACTTTCAGCTTTTGATTCAGCAGCAAACGATGGCTCAGCGTGAACAGAAAATGGCGGTGGGTAATGACCTTGGTGGCACCTTGGCAGCACTGCGGAACCCTGACATGATACCGCGGAACGAGCAAGCCCTCCTCAACGAACAGATGATGCACATTGAGACACCAGCACGAGGAGAGCTGAAACAAACAGAAGAGAAAGTGCTGTCGAGTGGCACTGTGCCAGCTAAATATCCTGGCTCCAACCCAGGCAGTGGGTACAAGGAGAAAACTTCAATGCTGAAAACTACCAGTCCTCGGTTGCAGGTGAGAAATATATATATATATATATATAAACAAAAGCTCTAAGAAACAGATAGTAAACAAAGTAAACATTTCTGTCCCCTAATCTTTCTCAAACAAAAGTCATGCAATTTGCATACTTCTCCATTTAACTCTATTCTGAGCAATTAACGTTAAATAGTTCAAATCACATAAATTATTTAACGATAAATTTCGGACACTAAGGTCGTGTAGAATCAGTGAGAAAAGGTTTGACTGCGGTCTTCCACGCCGCCCTTGAAGCTGTAAGGTGTTGACAGCAAAAACAAGCGACGAATAGGCTGGGCCATTTGTAGGCCCACGCAGTACATGTCCGAGCATCCTCCACCGACTACGAGCCACTTTAGCTGACAATGGTTCGCTATTGCAGCGTTTATACAAGTTCTTGTTGGAGATGATGTGAGGGTACTTGTAATTCAAAATTGATCGCAGATGACGTCTGTGAGCAATATCTAGTTTTTCCAATACTGATTTAGGGGCAGCCCAGCAAGATGAATTGTACATTAAAACGGATACTACCAGAGCCTCATACAACAGAAGCCTCTTGCTCAGAGGGATCTTATGGTTCCAAGCTTTCTTGTATTTGTTAAACGCGGCATATCCCAGACATATCCTTCTAGAGATGTCCTCCTTGCTACAAAGCATGGAGCCAAGCGTGATACTCTTTCTCCAGAGCTCGTTCCCTGCAATTGGCTTACCCTGATCGTCTTTAGCTCCCTTTTCAGCTAAGTACACATGAGTGAAATCAGTTTTGTCTTCGTTAACGAAGAGATTCCAATCTTTAAGGACTTCTGTTGCAATAGGCAACAGCTCCCTCAAATTGTCTTCATCTTCATCATTGAAGTCGATATCATCAGCATACTCACTGTCAAGTGGAAGACCAATATCGGTGATAGGTGGGTTAGGCCTATTCGTTGCAGTTTCAAGCCTGTTACGGAGGTCACGCAAGGCACCCGCTAAGACAAGTGTGAACAAGCATCCAGACAGACAGTCACCTTGGAATGCACCGAGAAAACTCTGGAATTCAGCAGACAGTGTACCGTTGATGTTGACTTTGAGCTTGGTGTTGGAAAGCAAAAGTCTTACCAAACGGACTTCGTCATCATCACAGCCACACTCAACAAGAAGATCGAGGATGGTAGATCGTCGTATAGTGTCAAAGGCACTAGACATGTCGATCCCCATACGATGGTATTCCCACCTCTTCCTCTGGACAACTGATAACATCACACGCTGGCACCATACAATGTCAGCACATGATCTACCCTGCTTGTAAGCACATTGCCATGGACCAGTGAAGGCATTGACTTTATTCTCAATTCTCTTCAAGGTTGCCATTGAAAGAATCTTTCTAACAGCATTTGAGAGAGTGAGGGGTCGTAGATTCTTCACTGGACCAATGGGCTTATTTGGCTTCTGTAAGGGGGTAATGTTTGCCTGTCCAATGGGGTCAAGGTAGGAATTGGTCTCGAAACTTCTATTGATAATGTCTGCAAAACGTCTGTGTACTGATCCAGTAGAATACTTGAGAAGCTCATTAGGAATCCCATCTGGGCCGTTAGCTCGACCATTTTTGAGACTTCTAGCAGCTGATCCGATTTCTTCACTAGTGAATGGCTTAACTAGTGGGCGAAGAGGTCCTACAAAAGGTTCTAAAGGTGCTTCATCACGAGTAAGTTGTTGCTCAAGGTACTTAGCAACTACGGCAGCTTTACCAGTGTCTGTTGCAATATTGCACCCTTGCTCATCATGAACACCAATACTAGAAGGGGCTTTACTTTTAGGTAAGTTCAGGGTTCGAACAGCTTCAAACATTTTCTTACTATCTGTTGTTGAACTGATGGTATTACAGATAGCATCAGCAGCAGCTGATCGTATGTTAGAAAGTCTCTGCTTGATCTGATTGGTGAGGCAGTTAATAGATGATCTAAGTGAGGTTCTGTCTAAAGACTGGTTATCATTAAGCTGCTGTCTCAACAAGTAACGCTGGCTAGATAAGTTTTTCACCTCATCATCGTCGCTGCGATTACGTTTCCTGTGTCTGATGACACCAATTGACGATTTTGCAGCATCCTTTATGGACTCAAGTAAGCCATTCAAGTCTGAATTTGGATCCAGAGCAGAAACAGTGTTACTTAAGTTATCATCTAAGGATTGACGATATTTCACCTGAATGGTGGGGTTCGAGGTGAGTTCAGAGGTGTTGAACTTTAAGGATGACTTGGAGTGGCGTTTATAGCAAAGACAGATGTCCTTAAAGTCTACTCTAGTGACAACAAATCTGTGATCAGAGTATGTCAAGGTGCCTGCATAAGATCTAGAATCTTGTAGCATTGGCTTCGACCTACTTCGACACAGGATGAAATCGATCTGAGAATAGACCGGGATCGTCTTTTTACTATTTCGCCCGGCACTCCAGTCCTTCCTCCAGCCAGTATAGGTGGTCGTATGTCGAGCAGGATGATAAAAACCAGTGTTGGAGGCAAAGAGGTCAAATTCTGATAACAAGTCTAACAAGTTTTCTCCCATATCGTTGCGCAAACCCATACCATGTTTACCCATGAAACGACCAAAACCAAAGTCCTTATCTGAAGGTGAGAAATAAATCAATTGAAATATTTTCTACTTCTACCATCATAATCTAATTCACTTCAAACTCAACCTTATGAGAAATAATTGGACATCGGGAGATCTTTTCTCAATAACGGTTCAAATTTCAGCTGACGACACAAACAAGCAACGCAAAAACAACAGTTCTAGTGCCCCATTACATGCTGGGAAACAACAAGGACTCAACCACGGCTGAAACCATGATGGCAGTAAAACCCTCGAACGCCTCCACCCCCGGGTCTGCCTCCTCTTCCGCTATCAAGAGTACTCCAATCCCCAAATCTGGGAGCACTGGATCCAGTCTTCCCTCTACTGCATCGAGCCAACTCAGTGCCACTATCTCTCAGCTTGGCTCGTCCAGTTCCTCCTATTTCAGTGCGTACGGTTCTACCGCTGATCCCCTGGCTCAGAAACCTGGTGATCAGAACTACCCTGGTCCTCCACCGCCTGCTAAACCTACCAGTACTGAACCACCAAAAGCTCAGATACCTAAGCCCAAGCACAAATACCCCTTTCAGTATCTCAATCAGGTTAGTCTGGTTAGATTTCGGAACAAAAAGTTGAAATTGTTAAGACACTCTGTGCTCAAAAAGTGAAAGTCTACGCCCGTCGTCATTTGTAATCGTCATCTCTGATTATTATTAACGAATGCTTCAGGTGTACATCACTGGTTACGCCATCATGATCCACACTTTGAAGGCGCAGTATCCAAACCTGAGACCTGAACTGTTCAACGACTTACTATCCAGATCCAATGTAAGTTTCCTTTAAATAAACCTTCGCTTAATAAAGAAAACTTAACAAACTTTACACTGGTCTCCGATCCAACAATTAAATTATTTGTACATGATCAGACTTGTTTCAAAGGCTATTCAATATCATCAGTATTCAATATTAATCAGAATATTACTGACTTATCACCGACTAATGACATTTTATCCTCAGTTCAACCCCTACACGTACTTCGAGTACCTGAAGAAGCTTGATAACTTTGAGATGACGTTGGAATCATTTTACGAAATGCGACCCGATCTTGGCGAGAAATGCAAGACTCGTGCTCAAAGATTAGCTGAAAAGCAAGCGGCTCAGAAATTGCCAGAGAAAGGAACCACGCCGCAGTCTGCAACACCTACAGTTCCAGTACCGAGCACTTCCTTACCGATAACTTCAAGTGCCAACAACGCTCCTCCGGTCCCTCCTCCTAGGCCAGCCAAAGAGCCCCAGATATCCATTCCAAGAAACAACAGTAACACAACGATTATTGAGTCATATATTTCCTCCAAGGGTCCTCCTGCCCCTATCAATAGTGGTCCTCAACCACCACCACCCGGTCTGATCACCACTGAACTGAGACTCACCAAACCTAGCCGGGACCTCAAATCTCCCCCTCATCAGTTCCCCTTTAAATCTCCTAATTCGTCAATCCACTATCCAGGGGAGAGTCCCAACAAAACCTCTCCTGCTAAGAGACCTGAATGTTCACTCCAATATCACCATCTCTCACTTGAGTCCTTCAAGAACGAGCCAAAGAACAAGGTGAGACGCAGAACACAAGTTCGGATGTCAAACAGAGGAATTCCAGTGAATCTGAAAAGATAAGTCCTACAAAGAAGGAGGCAAAAAGGACAGATGACGTCACAGAAACGGCCATGATGATGCTTCAGTTACAGCAGAGCATACAGCAGAAGCATACCATGCAGAAGAAACCCGAGGCCGGGCAGTTACCCGAAAACCCAAGAGCGGAGCTAGAAAGGCAGCTAGCTCAATCGGAAAACCAACTGGTATCCTCCGGCGACAACAAGCCTAGGGAGCATTCCTCTTACAGACACGATCGACCAAAACACAACTCTGGAGCAAGTGGGAGACACGAACCATACCCCAAGGACCATGTTTACCGAACTAACTACAACAAAATACCCGAGCAAGCTCCCAAGACCATGATGTCGAGATCTCTCCCCGAGTACCCCAATAACACCCAGGTACAGGAGTACGGGATGAAAATGAATGCTCAGTACCGTGAACAAGTCCCTCCTTATCGAAGTAGAGAATCTTCTGGTCAGCACGCTCATGGTGATGCGGAGGGGAAGAGTAGAGAGGAGACGGCTCGTGATTTATCGGGGATCAGCCGGAACGGGCATATTTCTGATCCGAAAGGCCCTAAAGTGAGCGATCCTACTAAAGAAAGATCCCGAGACTCGTTTCAGTATCAGTATAGCAGTGATACTCCTAACCAACTTGTCCGAACCTCCAACTTTCATTCCAGAGAGGGTAATGCGGGTTATAGGGAGCAACATGTGCAGAGGGAGCAACACCTCAACCGGGAGGGACATTCGGTGAGGGAACCTCATCGCGAGTCCAACTCTCTTCCACCTCAAGGACACGTACAACGTGACCCAAACGGTACGGTCCGGGAAAACCATGTCCAGGGCCGTGATGTCCAGAGCCGTGATCTCCAAAGGGATCCTCAACAACCCGCTCCACGCCGTGATCCTAACGTGACCCTCAGTAGAGGCTCATCTCGTGAACATCCTCGTAACCAAAACAGAGCACCACCTGCCGCCCAACCACAAACTCCACTGCTGTCCAACCACCGGGACTCGAGCACCAACAACAGAGAGCATTCTCTCACCAGGCCGGTCTCAAAACACGAAAAGGTATCGCCGAAGGAGAAAGAGAAAAGCACCCCCAAGATGCCCGATTTGAACAAGCCCGCATCTTACAACAGCATGGACCATTTGAAGCACCTGGAGTTGCAGAAAGAGTTGAAACTAACCGCTACAGCTTCTGCAAAACCACCCCTTCACAATCCTAGGACGCACATGATAACCAGCGCCATCCCTCCTCCAGAACTGAAGAAAGCTAGAAACTTCAAGGACGTCCATCCCCGCGATCTTCCCAGCCAGCCTCCAGAAATGAGAATAGCCCCGACTCACATTGATTCCAGGTCAAGCTACGTTTCTCATCAGGCGGGGAACCTACCTCATCCAGTCAACAACCGTCCCGAGGAACGGAAGAAGTCTGAGGAAAAGAAGCGGACAGATGATAAAGTGAAACTTGTTGATCACTCGGTGAAGAAACACACTGACATCCCAACAAGGAAGTCTGTCGAGCCCTTTCCCCATCCCGAAGAAACGAACAACAATGATTTGAAGAGAAAAATCGAGGTAAAAACTGTTCCATCCGTGAAGAAGAGTTCGGTCAAGGAAAACCCAAAATTAGCTGTGGTGACGAAGACTTCAGATGGCAAATCTCGACCTAATCAGGACCATAGATCACGCGACGATCTGGGTAAACACTTGCACACCTCCAGGATAAGGGAGGAGCAGGTGTCTAAAGCGAGGGAGGAAAAAGCGCGGGAGGAATCTCGGCTCAGAGAGGAGCAGCATAAAGCTTTAGCAGCATCTGCCAGCCTCGCCTTCGAATTTAAAGGATCCCCAGAACCTCCTGCAAGACCAAAGTTATCATCGGAATACAACTCTCGCCCGAAAACGCTGGCCCCAAACGAGTACAACCCTGCCCGCTCAAAGCCGCCCTCCGTTGACGCCACTCCCCGAACAGAAGACCCTGCCAGTTCCCCCGAGTTAGTGATCGAGGAAGAGGAGAAGACAGAACCTACTGTCAAAGCGATCCCCGACTCTTCACGTCACTCCCCTGATTCATCCTCATGCGTCAACAAGAATACTAACGGTGCCAATCGCATAACTAATGGTGGTAGCAGTGTGTTGGGTTACGACCTTGAGGACGTTTCTCCTCCTTCGACCTCCCCCGACCACCCAAAACGCGACATAACGTAAGATGACTTACTTAATAACAAAGTATCTCATTAGAGAAGTTGATTACAAATACCGTGGATTTCTTATACTTACTGAAAGTCTGATTAAATTTAAATTGTTCGTTTCTAGTAGCTTCTTTTTTATGAATTAACTGATATAGCTAACAGTAAATATTTCAGGCAAGATGCTCTAATGGAGTCGTTCGTAAACAATAAGCGCCGCAGAGTTGATCAAACTTACAACCACCACGAGAATTCTAACGAGCTCAAATTAACATCTGAGCACCAGAAAGTTGACGAGAAGCCCAAGGAGCTCAACAAACATTCTAAATTCTCGTTCTCCAATTCAATCGAGCGGCCTAGGGAAGACAAGTCATATCTTTCGACTAACGGAACGCTCCTGAAAACTAGGGAGGACTTAGCATACGGCCAGGATCCGGTATTCAACCACACGAAGAGCGAAACTCGACCAAGTTTTGACGAGCGACCAATTCAATCTCAGGACCTGAGCAGTTCCTCGACGGATTTATCGAACACTGATAACAAAAGTTAATGAGTAAATATGGAGCCCCCTTGTACGTTGTCCTTATCGTTATTGTTTGACTGAAATTTTGTCTTGTTTGTTGATAGAATGGGAAGCCCCAAAATATATTTTCCCTTGGAAAAGGAACATATTAAACCCCATACCTTGGAATGCAGAATATGTATCAACAGTACCACGTGCCATGTGTTTATGACGTCATGTGGCGGCGCTATGACGTTATTTGATGTTATTATGACGTCATATGTGACGCTACCGTGACGTTGTATCGTGCTGTCGTTTCTCGATGTACCTCTATTTTTTGTGTCATGTGCACTGTATTGTTTTTTGTGTGATTTTTAACGTGTAACATTTGATTTCAAATGAGTTTAATTATATATTTACTGGTAGCCTGGTAGTTTATTTTTTAAGTGTATTCCACAGAAAGTTCACATAACATTTATTAGAATTTTCTCTATGATAATGTAAATTTTATCGAGTTTTTGAATAAATCTTTTGTCTCGAAAATCTGAAACTTACTCATGCAGCCGAAATTTGTTGAGTTCAAAGATCTCAGCAGATATTAGATAAAGAATCGGATGTTTTGGATCGTCTGAGGAAATACATAAAACGTAACGCCCACGAATCAACGAAATTTAAAATTTGTGAACCTTTTTGTGTAATAATTTATATCCATGCTTTAACATGTTATGCCCATCAGTTAGCATGAATAATGAATATAACATTTTGTTGTTAAAGAATTAAAAGAGGAAAATAACTTAAGTAATAACTGAACTTAAGTAATAACTAAACTTAAGTTAAAGTACGTTGTAGTTGTGTCTGATCCCTTAGAACATTTCAGTTTAATGAGATATTTACAAACGGGTAACTCGGTACGTTATTGCTCCTTTCTGCCTACCAGGAGTTTTTAGTCTAAATGATTTGTTAAGAAACTTAATGCGGATTTTTTGAAATCATAATCCAGTGTTTTATTGTTTCCATTACACATTTACACTACAAACAAAAGTACTAGACTGCAGAGAAAAAAGAGAGAACCTTGAAACGGGGATCTTTAAGAGGGTGCGACCTATTTTAAAGAAGTACACTTCTGAAAGCAGCTCGATATGACGAGAGAAAATAATAAATATGCAAGAATGAGCGGTGAAGTAAAAACCCAAAACCAGGTAAAATTATAATTTGAGTAATAGTAAAATAAATGAAAGTATTAAGATGACTGAATACTGAAGCAAGAAAATGCCAAATAGTACGGTCAAAGGGGTATTAGGAGCTAATAATATAAGCTTAAGGAGATAACACGACAAAACAAATCTAGCGTGCTAAATCATTACCTGGGGACCCCAGGCTATTATGTTCATAAACATAAAGATTCGGCGGAATGACAGGCTAAGCGCCGCCCAGTAAGCTAAATCACTGAAAATGAAATGACGGCCGTACCGGTATCCGTATAGTATTTAAGTTGTTAAATGTTAAAACAAACTTGGGTCGACGTACTCTTGAACGCTGATTCCGAATCATAGTACAGACAGATCCGTCTGAAAAAATCGAACTACCGACACAAAAAGCTTCCAAAGGATATTTTACTATGTAGTGCGCCATCGACAGTGAGCCGCGCGTGCCGACTGTTGGATGGTTTTTTAGCGCTAATTTCGGCCAGCACAATTTTCTTCAAACAAATAGATATTGAGTATCCTTCCCGACCTCCGATTGCAACCAAAATTGGTAAGCTTACTAGCATAGACTTACTTACCTGGGGACCCCAGGCTATTATTGATTATGTTCATAAACATAGCTTGTAGCGCGATGCACTACTCGGTCGCGCGCGCATCAAATAATGCTTCTCGCAACCGTATGCAGATCGGCGAGATGCGAAGGATTGACATCATGAATCAAAAACATAGCCGAATAAAGATTCGGCGGAATGACAGGTTGAGCGCCCCCCAGTAAATAGTAAAGACTTACAAGTATAAGTAAAGGAAAGTGTCCGAAAAATTTAAAGCAAATTATAAAAGCAGGATTGACGGTACAGAGAGTTTATATTTATTACAAATGTGATTATCTAATTTACCCCACTGATTCATCATTGAAATCAATAAAATGATAGTACATAAGATTGTCGGTTGACCATTGTTAAATGTTAATGGTCTGGCCCGGCGCGCGCGGTTTCGCTAATTCACTCGCCATGGATTAGAGGAAAAGCGCGCTATTTTGTATTTCGCATTGGATGTAAAGATAACTAATGATATTGCAGTGTTTAAGTCACGTGCGCGTGATATAGCGCGTGATATAGCTTAAATGAGTTCTGGTCTGTCCCTTAAACAAACTTAGACCTTTCACATGCGAAAATAAAACAAAAAAAGGGGGGGGGGGGGGGGGGGGGGGGGGGGTGGCAAACCATATTTTGTATTTGCCAAAAAATTGAGAAAATGTCTCATTTTGAGGAATCGCATTATATGATATTGAGTTTATTGCACGCGCGGTGGACAAATTGTGTAAAAACAACTGTTCTGTCACAAATAATGCGCGTTATACTTATATTTATGGCTCTTACTAATTCGCTCGCCCAAAAATTTCACGTGACCAAAACGGTTTTTTGCCCATAACTCTCCAGGGAAGCATTTTAACCCTACGTCATGGGGGGTGATTCGGAATCAGCGTCCAAAAATACACCGATCTAGATCACTTTCATACCCAAAGGGCCTTTTCACAAGAATTTTCTTAAAATTTGGGCGAGCGATTTAGTAGGAGCGTATATTTATAGAGTGTCTATTCAAGAAAGTGTGGGAAGAAGAGACTGTTCCTGAAGATTGGTTAAAGGGTGTGATCATTGTTATTGGGAAGAAAGGAGACACTTCAGTCTGCGGGAACAACAGAGGGATCACCTTAAGGTCTACAGCATCCAAGCTTTTTCATATGATTCTTCTTAAGCGGTTACATTCTGGTATGGAGTGTCTCCTCAGGAAGAATCAGTGCGGATTTAGACAGAACCGCTCATGTATTGATCAGATTTATTCTCTCCGAACTATTATTCATAACTGTCTTGAGTTTAACATTCCTCTCTACATTAATTTTTTTGGATTTCAAGGCAGCGTTCGATTCTATCAGAAGGGACTTTATTTGCTGCAGTATGAGACACTATGGGCTGCCTGAAAAATATGTCAGAATATTTCAGTCATTTTTTGGGGGTACCATGGGTGCCGTGAGGGTTAATGGGAAGGCACAGGTCAGGGTGACATTCAAGCACCTCCTGTCTTTAATTTCTGCCTAAACTTTTCTGCATTTCTGGCTGAGACCAACAAGATCATCAGTCAAGGCGCAGTGCTGCAGAAAGAGATGAAGACGGTCGAGGAAAAGGTCATTCTGGACACCGATTATGCTGATGACATGGCTATTATGGACAACTCAGGGGAAGGCCTACAGGAATCAACTGATCTATTAGTTCATTACAGCTCCTACGCTGGGCTCAGAATAAATGCAAAGAAGACCCAATGCATGGCTGTAAGCAAGTGCGCCTCCCAGCGACCTTTCATCAAGGATGATTGTATTGAGCTGTCGGTTGAGGGTGAACCCGTCGAGCAGGTTAGCAACTTTGTCTACCTGGGTGCAACTATCAGTGGGGATGGGACAATCAACAGAGACCTGGATGTCCGTATCCAGAAGGCTAATGGCGCCTTTCATCAGCTCTGGAACATTTGGAATAGCAGAACTATAAAGACTCCAACCAAGATCAGGATCTATAGGGCTGCTGTCCTCACCATCTTGTTGTATGGAGCTGAAGTCTGGAACACCACCAAAAAGCAGATGAAACGCTTCGAGGTTTTCCATCAAACCTCCTTGAGAAGGATCCTTAGGATTAAATGGTTCTTTCATGTGACCAACGACGAAGTTCTTAGGAGGGCTGGCATCAAGTCAGTTGAGACTTTCATCAGTGCTGCCAGGCTACGTTGGTATGGACATGTAGTTAGAATGCCAGACTCTAGACTACCGAGGTTTCTGTTGAACTGGAAGCCAAATTATGGAAAGAGGTCAAGGGGCAGACCCCGTAAGAACCGGAAGTCCTGCGTACTCGAAGATGCTGCTAAGTTTACAGGTGTTGAAAACATCGACAACGACACAACAGAAGCTTTGGCTACCAACCGAGTACAGTGGAGACATATGTTACGCCGCCAACGCGATGTGTGTGATGCAGGCCACTCCAACGACTAGGAGGAGACCTTACCATGTATGTGTATGTATGTATGTATATTTATAGTTATAGAGGTGACCAATGAAATCACGGCATTAAAAACACGTGATTATAGCGCGCTGGCGAGTGATTTAGTAAAATCACTAGTAGTAGTAGTACTAGTAGTAGTACTATATGTACTATATAAGTATAACTGCCGTTCCCTGAGAAAAGGCAGTAAGTCCGGACTATAAGACTTTATTTGCAGTTTTTGGCCTATAACTTCCACAGTTTTAGTTATAACTAAAACTGTGGAAGTTATAGGCCAAAAACTGCAAATAAAGTATGTATACACTACTATATTATTTTAATACTTTCAACACTACTCATATTTTTTTCACTGTATTAATTGGCCATGGAACTAGAGGGTAATAAATAATTTGAGCCTGAAGATGGCGTTGACGCCGAAAATTTGCCCTTACTCCTAACTTCCTGTTTCATTTGTCCTTGTCTCTTCCAACCGGATATTATCCAACTATCAGGACTTCATCTAGAACTGCAATAATGGAGTTAACATACCTAGCAGTGTAATAACAAGGTCACAAAGGAAACGAAATTCGATTATAGTTTATACGCTGTCTGTTTTATAGTATAAACAAACTAACAAGGAACCAACAATTGGTTTAGAGCTCTCGCAGACCAATTAGATGGTATGCTATTTCATATTTCGTTACTGGTTCCTAGATAACTGCTAGCTCTTCTCGTGATTGGTGATGTGTTTTTAGCTACCAGTACCGATGAAGACAAATTTCACTCCCTCGTTGATCTTCTCCCTTGTTTTTCACAGTTCGAAAATAATTTTTCCCGCATGTATTATATTTTTATATACACAGGTTGAGAAATTCCAAAACTTCCTTTGGACCATTCAATTCATCGAATACTGGGATAAGGACAGCCTATTCGTTTCCTTTATCTGTGAATTTCGTTTCCTTTATCTGTACAATTATTTAATATTTTCTGAGTTTCTCAACTGCCCTAAATTCTACCTTTTCTTTGTATCCAGTTGAATCAATCTGCAATCGTTCAAGTGTTCTTTATATTATTATATTTATATTACTATTAGCCAGTCTTCAGGGGCTGAAAATCAAAAAAATTGGATGTTAAAATTAAATGTTAATTATGGATGAATATTAATATTTGATTGTTGATTGATGATGCTAAATAACAGTAACCCTTTGGCCTTGGGGTCGTTCACATATTATATAATCAATTTTCGGAAAAATTTTGCCCCCCTCCGTAATCAGTTTACAAATACACATTGCACAAAATTACACTAGTGTAATCATTTGGTAACCCCGGCCCCCCTCAGCTGATTGCGTAATATGTGAACGACCCCTTTCCTAACATATACGACAATCTATCGACATATATCAAGAAAGGGTAGCATTTTAAGTTTAACCCTAGATATTATATCACATATGGCGTGCGACTCAGGAAATAGGTTATTCGGACAATAGTTTATGTCGGATCCTACCGAACTTTCCATAAAGTAGGGTGGTTATAGGAGGAATAATCTGTGTAAGTTTGAGCGAGTTTCTATGCGCCACATTTGAGATATCATTATCACCTTAAAC